GTCGAAAAAAGTAAAAATTAGAATAAAGAGAATATTGTAAAGAGAGGACAATGGATGGGCAGTCTTACCTCACTACCTCTTGAGAACAAGTAGATTTGTGAATGTATCTGGGCTACTTATAAAATGGGCTAAGCTGCCCTGAACCTTGGACCAATAAAAGGTATCAGCTGCTCTGTTTATAGAGACCAGAGGGTGAGGGACCGAAGTCCACTCACAGAAGACTTCCCATCAGTTCCAGGTAGGGCGTGGAGGAGCCGGCCACACCTCCACAAGAGTACCACTAGTTCACCAGCTCTGCGTTGGGCAATGCCTCAGAGCCCGAGGCTTGGGAAGGCCCCTAGAAAGGAAGGAAGGGGTACTCCTGTACCCTAGGTACGCTGACTTCTCACTTTGAAGAATTTTGTGAAAACGTTGAAGATTCAATCACCCACCTCAGGGAATTTCCACTCCCGGGCTGAACCAGTCATCCCTCTCATGGGACCCTCTAGTCCAACGGGAGAACAAGGAGCTTCCTTTCTGGAAGGCCGGTCTTTGTGCACGGTGTACTTGACCTTGGTGAGCCTCTCACTTCCCCACTGCACCCAAAGCAGCCTGTCCCTTCTTTCTTTCCTTTTCTTTGTTTTTTCCCCATATGTCTCTGTTCCTTTGGCTTCTCCATGTCCATTCTTTGCTTTGCCTGTCCTCTGTTCAGTCTGTTTCTTCCTCCTTCTTGGTGCTTCTCTGACCCCTGACTTGCTTTCCTTGATGGCTTTTGTCCTGACAAGGAAAATATCAGCCAGTGGTGCCAACCCTTCCTCCCTCTGTAGTGCAGCACATCTGTATCTTAACTTTCCTCCTTCCCTCTTGTCTCAGGGAAGAGTCCTTCCTCCCTACATTCATCTGGGTCCCAATTTCCACCCGCACATCCCCTTTCTCCAGCATCCTAGGATGCACACCATTCAATTTTTTTTAGAATTATTTATTTATTTAATTCCATTTGGTATCATCATTATTATTATTATTATTATTATTTTAATTTGACCATACAGAGAGAGAGAAAAAGGGAAAGTGAGAGAGTAAGCTGCAGATCCGGGTCTTGAACTGTAGTTGGCCATGTGGGAATCCAGTGTTCTTAGCCATCACGCCACCTGCCAGCCCCAACTCACCATTCATTTTTTAAAATTTTAAAATTATTTATTTATTTTGTTCTGTTTGTTATTATTATTTTTTAATTTGACCAGACAGAGAG